ACCACACCCAGCTAATTTTTTTATTTATTGTAGAGATGAGATCTCGCCATGTTGCTCAGGCTGGTCTCAAACCCCTGAGCTCAGGCAATCCTCTCACCGCCTCCCAAAGTGCTGAAATCCGCCTCCCAAAGTGCTGAAATTACAGGCTTGAGCCACCACGCCTGGCCAATAAAAAGTTTTAAACGACCCAAGAATGTTACTAGTGTAACAAATCTGTTTGACATTAGGTCATTATATAACACAATGTGTATTCACCTCCTGTGAAGAGTTATGTACTACATTATTATTATAATTTTTGCTAAGAAGGATTTTCTAGTTAGAGGCCGAGATAATCTATGTTTTAGCATTCCATTGTGTGTGATCTTGCTTGTTTAAAATCGAGAATGAGAATTACTGACAAGTGATTTTGTTTTCCACTTCCCTGTGACCTAAGGCACACTCTCCTTTCTTTTTTTTTCCTTTTTTAAGTGGGACTTTTTTCACTGTGATATGTTTTTAGAACTTTGAAAAACATTAGGAAGAAAAAAGTTTCAATAAGCTCTTCCATTCTTTGTTTTTTCTCTGTATGATTCTGATTTTGTTCTTTTAGTTGGTGTATTTGTCTTATGTCCAAACCAATTCTAATGGAAACTTTTCTCCCCAGGATATCCTTCTTATTAATGTAGTAATTGAACAAATGATCTGTGATACTGATCCCGAGCTAGGAGGTGCTGTGCAGTTAATGGGACTTCTTCGTACTCTAATTGATCCAGAGAACATGATGGCTACAACTAATGTAAGAAATTACCCTAAGATATAAATGTTTTGGTCTACTTAGTTTTAGGTAGCTTTATTATAAAATTTTGAAAAGCAAATATTTAAGTATTTGTCCACTTGGTATTCAAGTAGCAGTGGTATTATAGTAATTCCTTTGTAGCAAAATATAATGTAATATAATATAATATAACATGTTAAAATCTTAGTAAAATTTTAGGAATTTTATTTATTGCCCTTTGGCCTGTTTTAATTTCTTAAATATTAGTACACAACAATGTGCATATACTTAACACTGCTGAACTGTACACTTAAATGGTAATTTTAAACTGATAACTTATGTTATATAGTTTTTATCACAGTAGAAAAAAGGAAAATATTAATATATACTAACAAATCTCAACTGCTTAAAAAGTTATTTAAAAGACTTAATCCTTGGCCAGACATGGTGGCTCATGCCTGTAATCCCAGCACTTTGGGAGGCCGAGGCAAGAGGATTGCCTGAACCCAGGAGTTTGGGACCAACCTGGACAACAACTTGTCTTTACACTAAACCAAAAACTTAGCCAGACTTGGTGGTGCACACATATAGTCCCAATTACTTGAAAGCCTGAGGAAAGGATCACCTGAGCCTAGGAGGTTAATGCTGTGGTTGCTGTGATCACACTATTGCACTCCAACCTGAGCGACAGACTAAGACTCCAACTCAAAAAAAAAAGAAAAAATACTTAATATTTAGATCCTTAATTATTAAGGACTAAGTACTTCAGTACTATAGAATATTAATAGTGGTTATCTTAATATTAAGGGTATTTTGCCTTAATAGACTTTCCTCATAATTAGAAAATATGTACACTGTATTTATTTGTTTAATTTTTGAGTTGGAATCTTGCTGTCACCCAGGCTGCAGTCAGTGGCACGCTTACAGCCACCACAGCCTCTACCTGCCTGGCTCAGGCGATCCTTCTGCCTCAGTCTTCCAAGTAACTGGAACCTCAGGTGCATGCCACCACACCTAGCTAATTTTTATGATTTATTATGGAGATGAAGTCTCACCAAGTTGCCTAGGCTGGTCTCAAGCCCCTGGGCTCAGACAATCCTCTTGCCTCTGCCTCCCAAAGTGCTGGAATTACAGACGTGAGCCATTGTACTCTGCCTATACACTGTTTTTATTTGTTTTTTAAATCAGGATTTATTGAGAGGACAGCTCCCACAGTGGGAGGAGGCCCAAGGGGGTTTCCCCATACACTGTTTTTAAATCATTACAAGCGTGTGGGCCAATTGTATAAAAAATAGTGGCAAAAATCTCAAAAGGCATTGATTATGATTTCTAAATTATAAACTTAAAAATTTTTTAAATAGAGGTAAATTTCATCTTTTCACTTAGTGGCTCACTAAATTGATTCAAGGTTTTTTAATTTGGATAGTTAGTGAAACATGGGATTCTAAATTTTAAGTAGGTTGCTATCTTACGGTTTAATTCTTTAAAAATTTTAATCATTAAAAACGTGCTCTTTTTTTCCACATTTGACATTATTATTATTATTATTATTATTATTATTATTATGGTCTCACTCTCACTCAGACTGGAGTGCGGTGGTATGATTACAGCTCACCACAGCCTTGACCTCCTGGGTTCAGATGATCCTTCCATCTTAGCTTTCCAAGTAGCTGGGACTACAGACGTGCGCTACCTTTCCCAGCTAATTTGTGTGTGTGTGTGCGTGTGTGTGTGGAGATGAGGTCTTGTTATGTTACCCAGGCTGTCCTCAAACCCTCCTGGGTTCAAGCAGTCCTCCTGCCTCAGTCTCCCAAAAGTGCTGAGATTACAGACATGAGCCACTGTACCTGGTCAGTTTTATTATGATTTTTTAAAGATGAGAGAATTTTATGAAGCTTTTTCTTTGTTACATTCTTGGGAAGAAAATTAGTATACTATGCAAAGTGAGACAGATGGATCAACAGTGGAACAGTGGTGATTATGGTGCATACTATTTTGACTTAAATGTAATTTGAATTTTTTGTATGTGTTTTTCAACTTTACATGCTTATTTATTTGTGGTAAGAACATTAGAGTCTACTCTCGTAGCAATTTCCAAGTGTAAATTCTATTACTATTAACCATAGTCACCATTTTGTACAGTAGATTTGTTCTTCATTGCATTTCAGATTAAAAGCATATATATATGCTGTCCAGGGTAGTCCTTTACTCCTGGCCTCAAATAGTCCTGCCTCTGCCTCTGAAAGTGCTGGGATTATGGGCATGAACCACCTCACCTGGCCTTCATTTTTATTTAATATCTAACATGAAGTATACTTGATTTTTTTGTTGTTGTTGTTCTACAAAAATAAGATTAAAGTGCATATAACTAGTTTTTTTGTTCTTTCACAGTATAACTAGTTTTGGGATTTTTTTTCCCACAGTATGTTAAAGTATCTGTATATGATCTGCACTGTTAATTCTTAAAGATGTTTATTCATTACAAAGGTAATAGAGTATTTTTTAAATCCTGTGTTTCAGAAAACTGAAAAAAGTGAATTTCTAAATTTCTTCTACAACCATTGTATGCATGTTCTCACAGCACCACTTCTGACCAATACTTCAGAAGACAAATATGAAAAAGGTAAGGTCTCTTATTTATCTGCTTATGATAGCTGTTTTTAAAAAAGAGTGAAATAAATATTAAAATAATAGACTGTTTACTTGGTGCTTTATATGACAGGAAAATCTCTACTAAAAAATTTAAGCAGGCCGGGCTCAGTGGCTCAGCCTGTAATCCCAGCACTTTGGAAGGCTGAGGTGAGTGGATTGCCTGAGCCTGCGGGTTCGAGACCCGCCTGGGCAACTTGGCGAGACCTCATCTCTACAATAAATCAAAAATTAGCCGGGCGTGGTAGCGTGTGCCTGTAGTTCCAGTTACTTGGAAGGCTGAGGAAGGATTGCCGGCGCCCAGCAGGTTGAGGCTGCGGTGGCTGGGAGCAGCCACTGCACTCCAGTCTGGGTGACAGAGTGAGACTCCAACTCAAAAAAAAAAATTTAAGCTGCGATGTAAAAATCATGATTTTCCTTGTTTCTTCGTGTCTGTGGAAGAGAATGATTAAAAAATGTAGCAAGACTATTCTTTCAAGGATCATTTCTGTAGTTTGTTACTAGAGGAATTTTTTTGAATGTGTAGACTAAGTGTATAAAAGGAAAATCTGGCAAACTGTTTTACACACCAAGGAAGAGATGTTGACACTCGTCAAAAGGAGATTGTGCTTAGAGTTGTGAAAGTAGCTATCTAGAATGAGTAGGAGCAGACAGTATAAACATTTTATTTTATTTTATTTTTTATTCAGTCTCACTCTGTCACCCAGGCTCGAGTACAGTGGCACACTCATGGCCACCGCACCCTCGACCTGCTGGGCTCAGGTGATTCTTCCGCACCAGTCTTCCAAGAAACTAGACCCACAGGCATGAGCCACCATGCCCAGCTACTTTTTTTATTCATTGTAGAAACGAAGTCTCGCCATGTTGCTCAGGCTGGTCTCAAACCCCTGAGCTCAGGCAGTCTTCTCACCCTTGCCTCCCAAAGTGCTGGAATACAGATGTGAGCCACCACACCCAGCATCAGTATCAACATTTTATTTTTTAATTTTTTATTTTTTTAATTTTATTTTTATTTTTTATGTTAAAGATGTGGGCTACAATTCAGGGTTAGGTATACAAATGTTCATTATGCAGGTACCTTTGTTGATGAGGTATGCCCCTCCCTCCCCTGGCAGTTTCCCACTACTGCTAATCCCTTTTTTGTAGTATTATGATAATTGTTCCAGTATAAAATGTTAAGTTAACCTCTAAATACACAATCAGATGCCAATATATAGGGGCAAGGCTTTTTTTTAGTATGTGTATTTTTATTGCATTTCTGTATTATCTTTCTTATATAAACTACATTCATAGATCAGCAGCTGCAGTTTCTATTTTCAGTTTATTAAAATGGAGTGAAAACTAAAGGTATTTTTGAAGCAGTCTGAATGCAGAATCCTATGACGGTTTTAAGTGTGTCCCACCAGGTATTCATGGTTATGTGTATCTAATTTGGAAGCAATTTTTAAATTGAGTTCCATTTTATTCAACTTAGCCATAAATATTACAGTTCTTTTAGATTTCATCAGTCGGCACTTTTTACATTGTTATCATACTGCTACAGTACATACTGGTGTAAATAAAGAACTTTGATAAGCATAGAACTCAATTAGTGAAATCAGAAATGTGTGGGGTTGTATGGGGTTGTAATAGAGCATTAGCCACTATATGAGAATGTTGATTAATCTGATGAGTCAATTAGGAAGAGGTCAATTAAGAGAATGTTAATGAAACTAATAAAGTAGTAACATGAGCATACCCTACATAATGCCATCAATTCCATTTCTGAGTATATACTCTAGGGAATGTTTATGCTTATGCATGATAGGCATAAGAATGTTATTCATACAATAGAATGCTATGTAGCCATTAAAACAATTGAATTGAATTGAATTTTGATGTATCAACTGAATAATTTTTAAAAATATGAATGTCAGTGGGTACAAAAGCACATCACAGAAGGTTTTATTGTAGAATGGTTCCATGTATGCAAATTATAATAATACATTTTTAAACACTTCTAGCATACAGAAATATACTAGGGGGACCAAAAAAAATGGAATTTGTTAAAAATTATGTGTTTTTTATGAAAGAAAGGTAGATTTATTAAAGAGAAGATACATTGTGTTCACAACAGGCAGAGTAACTGAGGGAGTGTTTGCTGACTGCCATGTATTTATTCTTACATGTTTAAACTTTAATCACCTTCCTATTTCTCTCCATTTGATGCAATATACCTACCAAGATGTTTTTTCCCTGCTCAAAACAGTTTTTGAACTCATTGATTTGGGTGCCTTTTAGTGCCTCTGCCATTTTTTGTTTCACCTCCTCGCATCAACAGAATATTTCCCTTTGAAGACTTTTTTCATCTGGGGGAACAAAAAATGCTACTTAGAGTGAGAAAGGTTGAATTGAGGGGTTGGGACTTGGTGTCTTTCCATTTTTGGTCAAAAACTGCTGAACACTGAGTGCAGACAGGTTGTATAAATCATCCATCATGAAATGGGCAAACACATGGACAGAATTTCCAATTAAAATTCATTGAAGCGGAACACATCCTCTCACAACAATGCTGGCTGGTGCATGGAAGCTGATGGGTTTCTAGAACACTTAACTAGCAGAAGGAGCCTGTACTACCATGGTCCTATCCTCCAAAAAAATTCCATTTTATTTTTGGGGTACTCATCATATAGATAACAGACACTCATGCACTCTCCATTGGCTTTATCAAAACAAACTCGCCTTTTTTTTTTTTTTGAGTCAGGATCTGACTTTGTCATCCAGGCTGGAGTACAGTGGCATGATCACAGCCCATGGCAGCCTCAACCTCCTGGGCTCAGGTGATGCTTCCACCTCAGCATCTCAGGTAGCTGGGACTACAGCTGTACACCTCCATGCTGGCAAACTTTTTTATTTTTTGTTTCTTGTTTTTTGTAGAGGCATGGTTTCACTATGTTGCCCAGACTGGTCTCGAACTTCTGGGCTCAAGCAGTCTGCCTGCCTCAGCCTCCCAAAGTGTTGGGATTACAGGCATGATCCACCATGCCCGGCCTACATCTTTTATTCAGATTTTTTTTTTTCTTGAGTCAGAGTCTCTTTTGCCCAAGTTGAGTGCAATGGCATGGTCATAGCTCAATGCTGTCTCAAATTGCTGGGCTCAAGCAGTTCTTCTACCCCAGCCTCCCAGGTATCTGGGACTGCAGGTGTGCACCATCATACCAGGCTAATATTTTTTATTTTGTGAGGAGATGAGGTCTTGCTATGTCGTTTAGGCTTGTCTTGAATTCCTTGGCTCAAGCAGTCCTCCCACCTCAGCCTCTCAAATTTCAGGAATTACAGGCCTGAGCCACTGCATCTGGCCAGAATCAGATTTTTAGACTGGAAAATATAGTTTATTTAGAAAGTAAATTACAGAGAGAGAGAGAGAGAAATTCACCTCTCCAAGGTAGGAAAGGGGGCCAGAACTTAGGAAATATCGCAGCGGCCATAGCTCAGAGAGCACATGACCATACCAGAGTTTAGTAAAGCAGTGGCTCCAGATTTTTTAACAAGAAAAAATCATTACAGATATAGTTGGAATTTCCTGTGTACCTCTTCACATTCTCATTTTTATCCTATTCCACTCCCCCCATCTCTCAAGGTATGCTAAATTTGGAGTTTATCACTTCTGTATTTACTTACATTATGATGTATATAATACGGTATTTTCATATTTTCAAGGTTGATATAAATTCACTCCTATTATACTGCATTTTTTGTTAATTCAGTGCTATTTTTGAGATCTACTTCTCTTAGTACCTGGAGTTCTTATTTATTTTTAACTTCTGCTTAGTATTCTTTATGAGTATGCTGTAATTGAGCCATTCTCTTTCTGATATATGTTTGTTTCTAGCTTGTCACTATTACAAATAATGCTCTAGTAGACATTTTTGTGTTTTCCTGTGCACATGTGTCTAGATGTGCTCTGGAATATGTGCCTAAAAATCAGAGATTCAAAGCATAAACATATTAACATGTTCTTACTCTGGAATTTGTTTAAGTCCTATATTTAATAAAATGAGATGCAGAGACATACCTGAATTTTTGGATGTTGAATAGGAGAAGGTGAAAGAAGATATGTTAGTTTTATCCATGATCATAATCTTATTTTTGTCAGAATGTATTTGCCATGTTGTCTTTTAATAATGCCACATCTATCTACTGCCTTTCTTGTAAAAGATTGTAGATAGAGGTATAGTAGTCTACCAAAGCAATCAAATCTTAATGGTTATTTTGAGGATAAAAGGAGTTTATGATTGAAGACATGCATTGTATGTTACAAAGTACTAGGGAAATGTGAGATATCATTACTGAAGTAGTTTATTTTAATTTTTTTTATTAGACAATATAGTTGGATCTAACAAAAACAACCCAATTTGTCCTGGTAAGTATACATTCATATTTTATGAACTTGTGCAAATTATAAGCTTTTTCCTACACAGAGTATAATGCATTTATATGAAGCTAAGAAAATCATATTTTGGCATAAAAACAAAATCCAAGAGTACATTTTTCTTTATTGTAAAGATAAAAATTCCACTGTCTCCACTATAAAAGATGGGAAACTGGTTGGAAATTTGTGTTGGGTTTTTTTTTTTCCCTGTAAATTTACCAACTTCTTTTCTGACATTGTTTCGAGAAGGCAATGTCTGAAAGTTGAGAATTGAATTCTTACTTTTGGGATGTGGTAAACTAAGACCAGTTAGTTCAGAACTAGACTTCATGACCACTTTGTACTATTGTTCATGAAGCTGAGTCTAAAAACTGTTGGTTCTACTTAGAACATACATACCACGTATGGGCTTGCTATTTCTGAATATATATGTGCTGTGACACATATCGTCCCTTCTTTTCCACCAGGCTCATCAAAGCTCAAGCAGAGCCAGATTCAAAAAAAAGGAGGCTGTTTAGAGATTGGATTATTTAGAGATATGAGTAATTTCTTCTCCCAATATAGAAAGATGAAAAGAAGGCATTTGTTTAACCCATAGATCATTGTTTAAATCTTTTGTGGCCAGATACGGCGGTTCATGCCTATAGTCCCAGAACTTTGGGAGGCCAAGGTGAGAGGATTGCCTGAGCCTACGGGTTCGAGACCAGCCTGGGCAACTTGGCAAGACCTCATCTCTGTAATAAATCAAAAAATTAGCCAGGCTTGCTGGTGCATGCCTGTAATTCCAGCATCTTGTAAGGATGAGGTGGAAGGATCACCTGAGCCCAGCAGGTCAAGGCTGCAGTGTTCGTGAACATGCCACTGCACTCCATCCAGCCTGGGTGACAGAGTGAGACTCCAACTAAAAAAAAAAAATCTTTTGTGAGTAAAATTTGGGAATTGAGAAATAACGAGGAATTGTTTTGAACTATGAGGGACTAATTCAAATTTTGGCTGTTAAACAGATAGGCCCAGAACAAGTGAAACTCTTGCATTTAAAGAAGAAACAATCTTTGAAATAGTACAATTGTATTTTGTATAGTTGATAACCATTCTGATAGTGAAAAGAATTCTGATTCATTCCCAGTTGCATTATAGTTCCAGAAAATATTTATGTGTGTAATCTTGAGTAAATAAAATTATTGCACTGGATTATGCTAGTTTTTAAATTCTGTAGCACTGTGATTTTATAATTTCTTCACAGCTTAATATTTTGTCTCAAGCATTTATAATAGGGGTGAGCGATTATTCATATAAACCCTTGGCATGCATTAAAATTTGATGTTCAGGAAACAATTCAAAACCATTTCATGAGTGTATAAGCCAAAGCCTCTTGATGGGGGAAATAAAGCCAGTTTATTCAGTAGGCCCTTCTCTGTGGATATCATGATTTGATATTTTTTAAATTACTGTTTAAAAAATATTGATGTAATATTTTTCACAATATTCAAGTAGCCAAAAATATCTTTTTCATAAAAAAAAATTTTTTTAAAGCATAGTAATTTTTCTAGGAATTTGCATTGAGCCACTTATGAAAAACAGTTTGGGGTATTTTCTTTTTCCTGTGGGCCTTTTATAGATTTAGTAATATTAATAATATAGCACTTATTAAGGAAACATTACCAAGAAAACCTCAGTATAGTGTAAGTTTCATTGTCATGTTTGTAGTTTTTATTGAGTTTTTTCCTGTTAATATTATTTATAATTTTATACAAATTAGAATCTTAGAAAATGTCTAGTACGTAAGACTGGTAATATAATTCTGTAGAGTCTGCCTAATGGAAAAGTAAAAATGTACAGCCTTTTAAATTGATATAAAGATGGAAGAAATACAGTTTAACTTGCGCTCTAAGATATAGAATGTAAATTTTATTCTCTTTAGATATATTCAATATTTTATTTTCATGAGATGATTTTCTTTTGTAGATAATTATCAGACAGCACAACTACTTGCCTTAATTTTAGAGTTACTCACATTTTGTGTGGAACATCACACATATCACATAAAAAACTATATTATGAACAAGGACTTGCTAAGAAGAGTCTTGGTCTTGATGAATTCAAAACACACTTTTCTGGCCCTGTGTAAGTATGAAATGTTAAACATTTTAAATGGAGATGAAAGCTGACCTTACCCATGTGAAGTTACTTATTTATTAGCAGTGTATGTTCTATTAATGATTGTGGGAGTCCTACTCTTTTGTTTTCTGTTCTTATTTAAAGGGTAAGAGGAGTAGGTTGTATGTTTCCTACCCACGTATTCTAACATTCAGATTTAATCAGGTCAACTTTAGTTGTGATACAATACCATGTGCAGTGACAGCATTTCACTAACAGAACCAGGCCTACTGTCTTTTACATCTGCTTTATCAAACTGTCATTTAGTAGTGACTATTTGTAATTATCCTGATGTTTGTTTCAATGTTAATTTTTGGCAACCTATAAACTCTTTCATCTTCATATTTTACCTGCAAATAAAGATATACCTTCTCTCTATAGATGGAAAGAGCTTTGTGGTTTTATTCTGACTGTAAGATTTTAGTTAAAATGCAAACATTTAATTTAATGTATAGAGAGAATGTTAATCTCCCTAACTTTATTTTTGTGACCTTAAAGTAGCCAGTGTTAATTGCCTGTATTACTTCTTTTCATTCTTTTTAAATACCCATATCTGTTTACATAAATATATTCACACACATATATAGGATTTTTTGTTTTTATACTTATTTATTTATTTACTTTTGAGTCGGCGTCTCAATCTGTTACCTAGGCTGGAGTGCAGTGGCACACTCACGGCCACCACATCCTCTACCTGCTGGGCTCAGGCGATTCTTCCGCCTCTGCCTTCCAAGTAGCCGGTACTACAGACACATGCCACCATGCCCGGCTAATTTTTTGATTTATTGTAGAGATGAGGTCTCGCCAAGTTGCCCAGGCTGGTCTCAAACCCCTGGGCTCAGGCAGTCCTGTCACTTCAGCTTTCCAAAGTGCTGGGATTATAGGCTGTGAGCCACCATACCCAGCCTGTATTATACCTGTACATTTCTCAGCGTCTTAATACTACTCTAATTGGTCAATATGATGTAGATTAATTTATTCCCTAAAGATAGCTAGTAACATTTTATAGTGTGGCTCTTCCACAGATTGTTTTGCCATTCTCCACTGGATGGTCTCCAACCCCTGGGCTCAGGCAGATCCTCTCACCTCTACCTTCCAAGGTGCTAGAAGGACAGGCATGAGCCACCATGCCCAGCCAAGAAGCTGTAGTTTATATCCTTCTGAATTGAAATAATCATTTTTGTTATCCAGTAAGTTAACATATGAGGGGACCCCGGAAAAACAGATTATCTTTTAGAGGGCAGTCCCCTTGTAGTACTGGCTTCCCCCACTAAGTAAATGTTCTAGGAACACATTGACGTTAAGGTGCCAGCTAGTGTTATTGTAAGAGGCTGCATCCTGCCTCAGTGATTTTTTTTTTTTTTTTTTTTTGGAGAGTCTTTCAACGCATTTGTCCATGATGAGTGATTTACAAGTGCACTTGCCCACACTGCTGAGTGTTCAGCAGTTTTTTTGGTGTTTTTTTTTCTCCTGAGTTGGAGTCTCACTCCATTGCCCAGGCTGGAGTGCAGTGGCACGCTCACAGCTACCCCAGCATCGACCTGCTGGGCTCCAGCAATGCTTCTGCCTCAGCCTTCCAAGCAACTGGAACTGCAGGTGCGCACTACCACGTCTGGTTAATTTTTGATTTATTGTATAGACAAAGTCTCGCCAATTTCCCCGGGCTGGTCTCGAGCCTGCAGGCTCAGGCAACCCACTCACCTTGGCCTCCCAAAGTGCTGGGATTACAGGCTGAGCCACCACGCCCAGCCTGTTCAGCAGTTTTTGACCCAAAACAGCATGATCCCCACGCCCTACCTTCCCTAGTCGCCTAATCTTGCCCTGAGCAACTTTTTTTATTTCCTGGATGAAAAAGTCTTCAAAGGGACTTGCCCATGTGGAAGAGGTGAAACACAAAACAGCAGAAGCATTAGAAGGCATCAGAGTTGCTAAGTTCACAAACTGTTTTGAGCAGTGGAAAATGTCTCAGTAGGTGTATTCATCAAACAGAATACTTTAAGGGTAACTAAAATTTAAACATGAAAATAAATACACAGTTTTTTGTAAATAAATTCTGGGGTTTTTTGGGGTCCCCGTTGTAAATACTTATCTTATTCCTGGAGTGTGCATTCTTTAATATCACCAGATGAAATAATGGCAGCGTTTATTCTTGTGTCATTATAGTATCTCTGTTGTAAGTTTTAATACCTATTGGGTCCCTCCTCATTTTTCTTTTTCATAATTTTCTTGGTGGCTCTTGGACATTTATTCTTCCACAGTAACTTGACAGTTTTATTCAGTTCATCTTGATTGTAATTACATTATATTTTTATGTTAATATTGGAAGAATTGATGTTCTTATGACAGGTTTTTGAGCTCTGTAAATAGGTCTTGATGACTACAGAGTATCCCCTTATATGGATATGTCATAATTGAATGAATTTCCAGTATTTAAATGTTTATACTCTTCCAGGATTCCCATTAATATAGACAGTATTGTGGTAACTGCAGCTTTCTTATTCTGCCACAAAAAGGTGATGCTGTAAGTCTAACACTTCTCCCCACACTTGTTTGGTGTTACAGTTAACATATATTTGTACCTTATGTGGCCTATTTTTATTTTATTCTCAAACTTATTTAGAACCTCTGGTGACAGGCACAGCTTCTTTTAATGACATCCATCCACAAACAGAGGGTTGAAATGAGAGACTGACTCATAAAATCAGAAACCATGTGTTTTAAAGATTTGGCTAGTAGTATCTATAGAATAAATTAAATTACTTAGAGGAAAGGATACAAGTTAAAGGATCAATAAACATAAAA